TCAATGACTTGCCTCTTTGGCATACTTTGCATGCCTTGATATATTAGGTGACATTATTGCTCATCTTAGGCCACCAATACTCTCAGAGTATAAGCTTCTTTATCTTGGCGATCCCTGGATGTCCAGTGGTTGCATGATTGTGACATGTAGTGATTATCTTGCTATGGAGAGTTTGATCTTTGAGGATGTAAATCTGTCTGTCATAGTGGATCAATCTATCTTCCTTTGTCATTCCCTGCTTATGATTGAGTGATAGAGCCACTCGCTGGTCTCACTTGTGGGTATCCTGAGTTGCACTCTTGATATGCTCATGGATTTCTTCTTCCATTAGCACAATCATGGCCCAAAAGTGCTCAGGCTTCAATATAATCACTCTTTTATTGTCAACTTCTCCCTAGTCATGGTCTGCCCTCCTGCTGAGCAGATCTGCCTTCTTGTTAGCTAGACCCACCTTGTGGTATAATGTATAGTCATACTCTGATAGTTCTGTGACCTATTGAGCTTACTAGCAGTTTAGCTTTTGTAGTACTTAGAAGTACTGTAGATTCTGGTGATCAGTCTAGATCTCAAAGATCTGAGCTACTCTAATTATATAATGCTGCTATTTGGCTAGGGCAAACATTATGGTGAGTAATTCTTTGTCGTATATTTTATAGTTGTGTTCTGTGATAGTAAGTACTTTGGATAGGAACATGACTGAGCATTATTTGCCCTTCTGTTCCTGTGAGAGTATGGCCCCAATAGCTTCTTTACTGGAATCAGCTTCAATGCAGAACTTTCCATCCTGCATCAGAATAGCAAGGACCATATCTTCTGCTAGCTAGTGCTTGAGATTGTTGAATGCCAATTGTTGAGATGGGCCTCAGGTCTATAGTGCATTGCCAGTCAGCTGAGTCATCAGCCAGACTATCTTGCTGTAGTCTCAGATAAATTATTGATAGAAGTTGGTGAAACCCAAAAGAGACTGTAACTCCTTTTTTTTGGTGGGCTCTGGCCATTCTGTTAATCCTGCCACCTTGATGAGATTCATTCAGATACTTTCTTTGCTGATAATGACTCTGAGGTATTCAGTCTTGAGTACCTTGAATTCACATTTCTCTGCTTTGAGGAATAATTAGTGCTTCCTCATCAGAGCCAGTACTTGTTGAACCAGTTTTCAGTGCTCTTTTTGAGTCTTAGATATAATAAGGATGTCATTCAAGTAAATCATGATCTTTCCAGTAGTGATAAGGTTTTTAAAGATGTCGTTCATCATTCACTGGAAAGTGGCTGATGAATTAGTGAGGCCAAAAAACATAACCATCAGTTCAAATAGTCTTCAGTTGGTGTGGAAGACAGTCTTCCACTCATCCCCCTCTTTTATATGCACATTGTTGTAACTCCAGCAGACATCTAATTTGGTGTAGTATTAGGTGCCACAGAGTTTATCCATTAGTTCAGAGATTAGCAGGAGTGGATAATAGTTTTTAATTATCATCTTATTGAGCTTTTAATAGTCTTGTACTGGTCAGAGTTTGCTGTCCTTCTTCTTGATGAAGAAGAGAGAGGCCATTGGAGATTTTGATGGTCAAATTCATCCACTAGAGAGATTCTCCTCCAGAAACTGATTGAGTTCTTATTGTTCATTGTTGCTAAGTAGATACACCTTGCAATCCAGGTTAGCATTAGCATTTGGGATCAACTTGATCACATGATTCCAAGGCTTCAGGTCTGGTAACTCATTGAAGCTTTCTTTATCAAATAAGTCTCAGAAATCCTGGGCCCACTCTGGCACTATTTCCTTGAATATCTTGCTTTCTTTTCTTGTATTGGCCTTTGCAGCCAAGTCATTGGCATAGTGCATGACATGAATATGGATGACCTTTTGCAGATCTACAGTGAGAATGGTCTCACCATCCTCCATTTCTTCATCCCACTGATCTTTGTGATCCTCATCAGGAACTTGAATAGGATCTTCTGACAATAACATCTCACAAATATGATTCAGCTGGTTTTCCAGTTAATAAGTGGATTGTGGTGAATTAACCAATTATGACCAAGAAAGATTTCCTTGGTCTCTAGATCAGTGATGGCCAAGTCAATCCTTTCAGAATAATCTCCAATTGTGAGCTTAAGCTCCATGAATTCAGTAATCAAACCAGCTTGATTCTTGATACTGTCTGCATTGTAGACTGGAATCAGAGCTGCCATAGCCTGAGTGAGTAGATTGTGCTTGGTGATAAAAGCATGATTGATTGAGCTGCCTGTGCAGCTGCTGTCAATCAGGACAGTCACTGCATGAATGCTTCAAGATGTAAGTGTCTCAATTTGGGCTTTAGCCAGAAGGTCTTGGCTTAGGGTTTTGGATTGTCAGATAAATTTCCATAGTCCTCAGAGTTCATTGAGCCATTCTAAGGCTTGGCAGCACTTGGCTTTTCTCATTCTCTTTATTACTTTGTCAACCACTTCTTCAGCTTGGGTTTTGTAAACCCAGTTTCTGAGCATGGCTTTTGCTGCAGCTTTGTCTTTTGCATCCTTGATGGCTTGCCAAGTCCATTCAGTGTCAAATGGCTTGAGCTAACTAGTGGAACTCACTGCTTCTATTCAGCCCATGGGTGATTGAGTTTGTTTCTTAGGTGATCCTTTCTGTGGAGTGGTAGTGTTGGGTATATTTGAATGCATGCATAATTTAGATATAGATAGTACTATAGAGATAATGTCAGTCCATCCAGTGTCTGTCTGTGACACACCACTCATTGCTCTGGCCAAGTCAGCAGAATCACTCACTGCTCAGCCCCCTCTTTTACCTCCTTGACTTTTGTCTCTGATCCAAGGGCTTCTTCTTCTTTCTGTAATTTGATGATCAGCACTCTGAGATCTTCTCAGATGCACTTATTCTTCTTCTGTGGGCAGTCTCATACTATGTGGTCTTTCTGGCTACAGTTGAAGCACTTCTCCTCCTTCTTGAGCTGATCCACATCTATTAGCTTATCTGTTCTGGTAAATATCATGCCCATACCAGTTTTTTTCTCACTATAAGAGGAAGTTAGGGTTGAGCCATCAGGCTTGACAGTCATAGTTGGATTAGAGGGGTAAGGCTTCATTCTCTGTGCTTGACTCTTCTGTCCTCCTGAGAGAGTCATCTGCTCTGCCTTCTATTATTATCATTCCTTTTACATGTTGATAATATGCTTCTTCCATGCATCATATCCTTTCAGAATATTCTCACTGATAACCAAGATCATCTTCAGGTAAGATGTGAAAAAATTGCAATAATGCAATACATATACTGAAAGTTTCTTTGACATGCACTACATCCCCATACTGATGTTGCTCCTATCTTCATGTACTCAACCATTTGGCCAGTGTCATTGATATTGTCCTGAACTCTGGCCAGTTTGCTGAGCCATTTCAACTTATCAAAGTACTCCATTGTCAGCTTATCTTCCATCTTATACTCTTTTATCTTCTGTTTGTATACTTCCTGTATGGTGGGATCCATGAACTTGTCAGTCACTATTTATTTGAACACTGGCTACAAGGGTAGTTGATGATGCTGCCATGTGGTTGACCAAAATGTAGAGGCTAAAAGTATCTATCATGTTTTTGCTTTGTCTTCCATGTGGGTAGAGATAAAGGTGACTTTGTATATGTTGAGCATGAAGTATAATGTAAATATTTGAAAGTATTGGTTACAGTCAGTGAGGAATCAGTCAATGTCATTGAATGCCCCTTTGAAGGGGCAGAGTTTGTGTATGAGGTCTGGTTTGCAGTTAAGGATTGTGGTGTCAGCCACAAGCACTGTTATTGGGTTTGGGATCCTGCCAAATGGCAGGACATTCCAGAATATCAGAGATCTCAGGAAGGAGTGCAGGGAGTCATTGTTGGTGATGGGACTTTCCAGTGGTGATGCCTTCTTGCACACAATGTGCCCATTCTGAATAGTGAACTCTAGTTCAATTGCCTCAGAGTCATCTTTTTTGGGTGAGAGTGCTTCTGGAGCCTTTCTGCTTTCTTTGGCCTCATCTGACAGTGGCTGGCTAGTAAAGAGTCAGTGCATGGATTGTGCTCACAGATTCTGATAGAGGTTTCTCAGCTTGGGTCAGTTCTGCATAAGCCAGGATGCCATACTTTAAATGGCTGAGGTTGTGAACATGTATCAAGATGAAATGGTTCAAATCAATGGTGCCATGTAAACAGCTTAGCTAGGTGCCACACTTGGCATTCACAGCATTGGTTTGATATTGAACTAGGACTTATAGGCCAGTAACAGTGCTAATTGGGTTTCTAAATGATTTTTATTATAAATAAAAATGGCCTGCTTGGTAGCTGTATATTGAAGAATTTTTGCATATTTGACTTTATTAGCAGTGGTATACCTCTGTTCATGGGTGACACCAATCAGGTGTCATCCACTCATAAAGTGGCTGCTCCTTTCTGGTACAGCCATAGGAATTCACCTTAGTGCTCTATCTGCACCCTCCTTGCTAACTCTTCTTCTGTTGGGTGTTGCATAAATACACTTTTCTACTCAGAGAGGGGATCTCCTTCTCTCTCATCATTAGACTCTTCCTCATTGTCCATCTTGCTCTTATCCTCCTTGAGGAGAGAACTGTCACATAGGTCATAGATATCCAGGGTGACCTGGCTGCTGCTGCTGCTGGTTACTGGGTCTAGTGTCATTAGGTCCAGGGCAAGAAGAAGGCTCTCTTCCTCACTGGTGCTCCTCAGCATCATGTCTTGCTGCTTCCACTATCACTGCTCTGTGATATCAGTGAAAGTTTTAATAGAAGTGAGATTAGAGGAAGAGCATTGCAATATGCCTATCTAGAATCTGCTTGAGGTCTCCAGTGGGTTCAATGTGCTCACCATCACCTCTGAGGTCTCCTTTCTAACTTTGTAAGTCTCTTTCTCAGACTGGAATGTCATCAGTGTCAGCAATTGAGTCAGTCCTGTAAGATAGCAGATGATCATTGTCAAGATTGAGTGACACTTGTCAGTGGATGTTGTCTGCATGAATAATGCCTTTGGAGAGTACTGCCTATGAGTCAGGTTCTGAAGCAGCAGGAGTGCTAGGTTTCCAGAATGGAGTGTTGGGAGAGTTGATGAGAGTTCTATCGATGGTGGAGGTACTAGGGCTCTCTGAGCCCCTTTGCCAGTCTGCTATTTCTTGTGCTCAGAGATACTATCCAAAGAGTGTTCTGCCTAGCTGTCTTGTACTCAATTTGCATCTGCTTCTGGACATACTCAGCAAGGGAATCAGTGTGTCAAACTTTATCCTCTGGGGAGAGGACCAGGTCAATAGGGTCAGTCTGTTGTGGACCTTCTGATAGCATTCATATGCTGCCTATTCTACTTAGAGTGTGGCTGCTCTGGCAGTGCTCCATTCAGTCAACTGCTGCTGCTGCTGCTGCTGCTGCTGCTTGCCAGTATCTGTCTTTATTGCTGTCATTGGCAAAGAATATGTCATCAGTTCTGACAATACCTGTTCTTCCTCTCTTGCTGTTGGTACTCTGATTCTCAATGTATAGCTTAATGGGGAAACTCTCTCTGCTTTCTGTTGCCATTGCATGTAGGAATCTATGGCCATCATTTGGGAAGGTACTTCTACTCCTTTAAGCCACCTTAATAGCATCAAGGGAGTCTCTGGTATGGCATCTAATGCTGGGCTGAGAGGGTGCAGTTGAGGGGGTTGCCCTTATCATATGGATGTGGCTGGGGATGTCCATGCACTCAACACATGGGATGGGCATGTTGGGCCTTGGTCTTCAAAACCCTGTAGCCCAAGGGTTGCTATCATCTCTGATGATTGCTGTCAGAGGTTGAAGTGGGTATTGGTGCTGCATTTCTTCTCCAGGACATTGTGAAGGTATGTTTCCAGGATTAGTTTCAGGTATGGTTTCTTCCATAAGCTGAAAGGACTGTCAAGCAGAGGGAGAGATGTCATGGAGAGAGAGATCAGAGGTGACATTGCATAGAATGTGTTGGATATGCTGAAATTCTTGATAGTGTCTAATAGCCCAGACAGTGATTGATTGGCATCCATAGCACAGCTGTATGATCACCAATAATCCTAGTAATGTTCTGATGATAGAAGTGAGAAGTTTGAAGAACTCATGAGTAAATTTCAGATCTGATGGGTTGATTGCAGAGGGCATTCAGTTTCTCAGCATAATTGGACTTGAGAAAGAAAAGCTAGAAGCTTCAAGCTAATTATTAAGCCTAAATGACATGTGATCTAAACACATGATAAACTGACACTGTCTCACACTTCAGACAATAATGTCAGAGTCTACTTGATGTGTTATATGGCTTTATATTTCAAGGCCTTTAGATTACCTCAAGATAAGATGATGAAGAAATAAACTTTACCTCAAAGCTGGAGATACTATAGCAAGAGCTACACTACTTATATACCAGTCATCATCCATCTAAAGATATAACTACCTAATTGTGCATCTTAGTATTATAGAGCATTTTGTCCAGTGTTATTAAGCTATCTATAAAAGGGTATTGTCTGTTGTTGAGCAGTTACTGTCACATCAAAGAACAATGACCAACTAGGCATATTGTGATGACTAAGCCTTGTCTCATAGTTCTAAGCACTGGTTAAGCACTATGACTAAGCAAAAATAGAAGTTAATTCCTTGAAAAAAGAGGTAAAAAGCAGAAAAATTGTAACAGCATGATCCACAAAAAGCTCTATCACAGATGATAACTCACTGCACTCATTCTCTGGCCCACTAGCTGAGTGATGATGACTGTTATTTGATCAGTACTCTAATCTAATGAGGGCATTACCTCAAGATGCCACTATCATTAATCACAAACCTGATCTGCTCTGAAAGCTCTGCCCTTTCAAAGGCACCTCAGATGATATTGATCAGTTCTTCATTGACTGCAGGTAGTATTTTAAAGTATACTCAGTCTACTTCTCCTTTGATATTTATCAAGTCATCTTTGTCTCTATCTATCTCAAAGACAAGGCTAATATCTGATGGACCTTGCTCTCTCTGATGTATGAAAGGAACACATCATAGAGATGAACAAAGAGCAGCAATAGCAGAAGATAGAACAGGCTAACCTTCAGAGTAATTGAAAGCTCTACCAGCCTCAGAATATGAAGTCTGGGAATTTTACTAATGCCAAGACCAGATTGACCTCTTCTGCCACCCCAATGTATGGAACCCAGAAGATGAGCATCAGCACCATATATATCAGAAGTGAAAATCAATAGATATTGATTAGCTTAAAAAGGAGAGTAAGTGCTTCAGTTGCAGATAAAAGAGACATTTATCATAGGATTGTCTGAAGAAGAAATGCATATGGGAGGACATTAGAGCACAGATTGCTGAGTTGCAGAAAGAAAGTGAAGAATTTAAAAAGGAGATAAGAATTAAGAAGGTAAAAGATAAGGCCAACTAGTGAGTGATTCTACTGGATTGGCCAAAGGACTTAGTGGTATGTGTCTCACAGCTGCTGGACAGACTTGTAGTACTTCTGTAGTTATGCCTAAATTATGCATGCATTTGAATATACTCAAATCTGTCATGATGAGACCACTAAAGAAATCATGAAAAATCAAAGCTCAACTACTCACAGGCTGAACAGAAGGAGCAACCCCCACTACATGGCTCAAGCTTTTTGACACTGAATGGATTTAGTGCACTATCAAAGATTCATGGACAGAAGAAAAAGCAAAGGCAGTACTCAAGAACTGAGTACACTAAACTAAGACTGAAGAAGTCATTGATAAGATGATTGAGAGAGTAAAGAAGGCTGAGAGATGCCAAGCATTAGAATGGCTCAATGAGCTCAGGGGACTCAGAAAATACATCTAATGGCAGAAGACCCTGAGAGGAGACCTAACCACTAAGACTCAGATTAAAACACTCACTTCCTGTTCCATATATGCTATAACAGCTCTGATTGACAGTGGCTATACTAGAAGCTCAATTAATCATGCTTTTGTCAATAAGTATAGCCTATCTACTTGAGCAACTGCTACTCCCATACTGGTATATAATGCTGATAGAACTAACAATCAAGCTGGTTTGATTACTGAATTCATCAAGTTATGCTTGACAATTAGAGATCATTCAGAATGGATTGACCTAGCCATCACTGACTTAAGGACCAAGAAGATGTTCCTCAGACATAACTGGTTGATCCATCACAATCCACTTGTCAACTAGAAAACCAGCAGGATTACCTTTGCTTGATGCTAATGCCACAAAATCCTCTTTGAGTTGCTGAATGAGGACCCTGAGGATTGATGGGATGAGAAGATAAAGGACAGGGAAACTATCCTTGCTATTGACATAGAATAAGCCATTCACATCCAGGCTATACACTATGCTAATAATTTGACAGTGAAAGCCAATGCAGAGAAGGAGAAGAAAATCTTCAATGAGATAGTAATACTCTCTTGGAAACCTAGTGATGAGTGAAAGGCAGCTGGACCAATCACAGACTATTTGAATCTACTATCATGTTCTTCAGTCTTACTAATTTCTCTACAACCTTCCAATAGATGATAAACAACATTTTTAAAGATCTCATTGCTACAAGAAAGATTATGATCTATCTGGATGACATTCTCATCATGTCCAAAGATAGAGAGAAGCACTGATAGATGATTCAATAGGTGTTTAAACTAATGAGGAAGCACAAACTTTTTTTCAAGATGGAGAAGTGCAAGTTTGACATATTAGAAATGGAATACCTTGGGGTGATCATCAGTGAAGGAAGCATCCAAATGGATCTGATCAAAGTGGCTGGAGTAACTGAGTGGCCAATACCAATGAAGAAGAAGGAGCTGCAATTCTTTCTGGAATTTATCAACTTTTATCACTGATTTATATGAGACTACAGCAAGATCATACGATCTATGACACAGTTAACCAGTAATGTGCTCTGGGTCTGAGGCCCATCTCAGCAAGATGCATTCAATGATCTCAAGTGATATTTTACAGAAGATGTGATTCTAGTAATCTCTACACAGAAAAGGAAGTTTAGGATAGAAGCAGATTTCAGTGAAGGAGCAATCAATGTGGTACTCTCTTAAAAATAAGATGGAAAATGGCAGCTGATAGCCTTCCTCTCTAAGGAACTCACAGTCATAAAACACAACTATAAGATCTAGGATAAGGAGCTCTTAATGATTATGCTAGCTCTCACAGAATAATATCATTATCTGATCAAAGCAGTTCAGATTTTTAAAATCTGGACTGATCACTAGAATCTCTGCTACTTCTAACAATCTCAGAAGCTTAATTGATGATAAGCATGCTGAGTTATAGAGTTATCTGAATATCAGTACACACTCTATCATAAGATGAGAGCAGTGAACAAGAAGGCTGACCTTCTTAGTCAAAGAGACAATCATAATCAAGGAGAAGAGAACAATAAAGAGGTTACATTATTAAAGTCTGAACACTTTCAGGTGATGATGATGCCAACAGAGAAAGAGACCCATAAACAGATCAAGAGTGTCATGAGAGACAACAGCAAATAGAACTAATGAGTGGCCTTATCACTCAATCATGAGCAAAGAATGATTAAGGACAACAGATTGAATCATTATGATAGGAGAATCTATATACTCTGAGACTATCAACTCCACAGAGAAACCATCACAACATGTCATGACTATGCCACTGCCAGACACCTTAGAATCACTAAAACCAAAGAGTTAGTTTTACATGAGTATTGATGGCCAAAGATGGGACAAGATATCAAACAGTATGTAAAGAAATATAAAACATATTAAAGAGAAAAGCTGTTAACTCAATTACATGCAGCATCACTCCATCCAAATGAAGTTCTGCAGGCACTCTAAACAGATATCTCAATTGATAGATATGACATCATTATTGTCATCATTGATTGATTTTTCAAGGCTATCATTCCAGTCACATGCTCAATGGAATTGTTATCTAAAGTGTTATGATTTTTTCTATTTTCTTTTCTTTTTTCTTGATTTATTCAGAAATTAACTCCTATTTCTGCTTAGTCAGAGTGTCTAAACTGAGTTTAGCACCCAGAACTGTGGGAGAGCTTAGTCAGCTCATAGCACTGCCCAGGTTCTACTGTGCTGCTGTGAAGCTTTACAGCAGCACAATGACAGAGTACCTCTTTTGTCATTGTGTAGCAGTAACAGCAGTAATAGCTCAACAGCAGAACAATACATTTTGTAGGTATTTTAGTGACACTAAACAACATGCTCTACAGTGCCAGGACAAACAATTAGATAGTTTTATCTTTAGAATAATAATGGATTAGTATATAAGTAGTGTAGCTCTTGCTGTAGTAACTCCAGCTTCAAGCTAAAGTTTATTCTTCACCATCTCATCTTGAGTGACTTGCAACTGCCTTGATAACACAGTGCCAATAATGCATCAGTGGACTTGATTGTTTTACTCAAAGTGCAAGCTAATGGTTATTTATCATGTGTTATTGGTTATGTGGAATTTAGACTTAACAATTAGCTCAAAGCTTTTAGCTTCTCTTTCTCAAGCCCAATTGTGCTGAAAAACTGAATGCCCTCAGCACTTAATTCCTCAGACCCAAACTTTACCTATGAGTTCTTTAAACTTCTTGCTTCTATTATCAGAACACTGATTAGTTTATTAGTGATTATATAGCTGTGCCATAAACACTAATCAATTACCACTTGGACAATCCATCATTATCAAGAGTTTCAATATATCAAAATAATTCTCCACAATGTCACATCAGACCTCCTCCTCCATGATATCTCTGCCTCTGTCCAACAGTTCTTCTGACCCATAAAAGGACTCATATCTGAAACTGTCTCTAGAAGCCTACTGAAGGGTGTTCTAGAGAAGAGGAGCAGCAGCAGCAGCATATATACTCTCTGTGACCCCCAACAGCAATCATCTGAGACCCTGGAAACCCTTGGGCTATAGGGTTTCAATGATCCAGACTCGACATCCTCATTCTATCCTCTGAGTGCAACATTGTGAATGACATTCTCACAATAAAGACTGCAACTTCTGTCTCTGGCTCTGGTGTTGGATGTCATG